GAATTTTCCTTCCTTTCGTATTTTGTTTCAGTTAAGTTGTGTTTTTCTTTCCGTTTAATCTTCCCCCAATAATGACAAGCAAATCATCATTATGACTATAAATTATTATTTATAGACATATTTAATTTTAATGTAATGTATGTTCCAACCATCCACATCCTCAGGTCGGTTGTGACAGTCATAAAAACAGGTTAAAAACTAATAGCTGAGAGCACCAAAAATGATTTATAACGAACTTTATTATTAGAAATATGAAATACAACACAACATAATTATTTAAACAAAGCATATTTATATCAAATAACAATATGTAGCAGAAATATTTTTTTTAAAACAAATTTTGCAGGAATTTTTGTTTTTTTATTTGCTTGTATTGATTTTTTTCCTTTTTTCTTTCGTAATTTGTCTTAGTGAAGTTGAATTTTCATTTCTGTTCAATACTCCCAAAGGTAAAAAAATACATGTCACTACCGTACTCACGGCACTTGTGAAAACAAATCATCATTATGACTAAGCTGAATTATTTATGCAAAAACTAATTGATAGTGATGAACTGCTAATGTTCAGCAAAATAACAAACAAAGAAATCTATCTGTGTACAAAAAAGAATCGAACAAAGAAACTTTTTTTGACTGTTTAAAAATAATGCTGTCCACAGATCATGTAAATGAATTGACTTAATGAAATAATGTAAACTTATTCAAATCGACATACTAAATCGTTCTATTTCAATTTTTTCAATTGCTATCTCAAAATCAGTATAATTTGCTTTTTATGACGATTGTCACCACCGTACCCAATGCAAGCTTTTGAGAACAATTTATCATTATGACTGAGCTAAATTATCTATGCAAAAATTAATTGCTGGTAAATAACTATTAATATAAAACTACAGGAAAATAACATCCAAAGTGATATATTGCGTTGAAGAATCAGTTATTATTGAAAAAAATCGAACAAAGAAACTTTTTTTGACTCTAAAAAGAATGCGGTCTACAGATAATGTAAATGTATTGACTCAATGCAATAATGAAAACTTGTTCGAATCAACATACTACATCTTTCCATCTCAATTTTTTCTATTTCTATCTCAAAATCAGTATAGTTTAGCTCTTATGAAAATTGTCGCTACCGTATTCAACGCATTCTTTTATAAACAAATCATATCCTGGTCTAAATTATCTACGCAAAAACTAATTGCTCAATATCAACTAATAGTATTCAACTGACTGCAAAATAACACACAAAGTACTATCTGTGTGTAACAGGTATTACTAAAGTCGAACAAAAAACTAACTTTTGAAAGCAAAATAGCTTTTCTTCAAAAGCAAAGCGGTCTACAGTGCAAACTTGTCTGAAGAAACATACTATATCTCCCTTTGGATCCTATCTCAAAACCAGTATAGTTTAACTCTTATGACGATTATCACTACCGTACTACTAACCTGGCACAACCGTACCCAGTCTCTCCTATTACTGTAATATTACACCTAAAGACTTGATATAACTAGGATTATTGTCTTCCCATCTCTGGAAATAAGAGTAGTATTTATCGAAGCTTTAGTATATTTTCGTGCTTTACTGTTGACTTGAAACTTTATAAATGTAAGTTATGAATAGACCTTATACTAACTACATGGACTGCTAGTTTTCATAGGTTTTCCAATTTATAAAGTATCATAAATAGAAGAGGACTGTGACGTAACTGCGTGAACGAGCATTGCCGACAATCGTGGAACACTAGCGATTGATTAAATGTCATATGTGACGTGCTTAACCTAGAAGTAAATTTTGTGCTTGAAATTGTTTATTTGTTGTGAAGAAAAAAATTTAATTGACACCTTCACCTTATTATTTCGATTTTCCAAAATATAACAGAATTATATGCTAGTGCAATAAATTATATGCTTAATTTGCATAAACAATAGTGGATATTACAGATTATATTATATTATACATTATACAACACAATATCTAATTTAATTGAAATATTATTCGTGTTTATTCATTTATTTCAATAATATAATGGCATTTGTGTGGATTAATAATTGTGTAAGAATTTAGATATCAATAATATTGCCCCTGTGATAAAAATGTATATAAAATCGAATCCACCTGTTAAAATCGGTTTATACATTATAAAGTCAATGCATATGACATTTCATCATTTGCGAGTTTTCCACGATTGTCGGCAACGCTCGTTCACACAGTGACGTCACTGTCTCTTTCTGTCTTCTGACACTTATTTTGCGCTCGACTAGCAGCCCATGTAGTATAAGGTTAATCATGTTACGAATTATAAGTAAATTTTCAATAGCAAATTTAACTTTTTTTTTTCTTATCAATATATAATTCAACAAAAGATGAACATCAGAACCATTAAAGAATTACTTTGTAACAAAAGATAATAACCGAGTACGACCAGATGGTAATCGAAATTTCTTGTCATAAAATAATCCATAATCCACGACGTTCGCTATCAAATGGCTGCGAGTTTCCGGCGGCATAGGTAATTCGTTCATTCGCAGCAAAACTTTCTCGGTTCGCGTTAAGAATTTAATTAATCCAAAAAGCCGTTGAAAAATTACATAGTGACGAAGTTAAAAAAGTCAAAAACTATCAAACAACTGAGGGAGTCTATTATGGAATTGAAAACTCCGAGATTAGCGATATGCTAATATCAAAAGTTTAAACTGAACTCTCGAAATGTGTAAGTAAAAGAAAAGTTTCTAGTGAGATTATTGGCTTATGTCTGGAATGACTTCGATGAAAAATTATTAGGGATTAATTTGAATACTGGTAATAGTATTATTGGAACAAATATAGAGTGTTCGGATTGTTCTTTTTTTTTATACGACAAGCGATTAATTTATCACGTGCCAAATTATAAAACCAATTGAATTAGTTAATGATTTTTACGTGTAATTCACAATTATAATATATTTTTATTGAATTAACAAATATATAATTAAATCACAAAAAGAGTATTTGTCATTTTTATTCATCTTTTATTTGTTCTCGATTTGCAAGTTTTTATATGTATTAATTCTTTCCTCTGCTTTAATTTTAATTTGTAATAGTTTGATCATAGAAACAATAGAATTTAAAATTTGTTGCTGAAATAAAAGGTTCATAATTACCCTGACCTTATGACATATATTAAAGTAGTAAAACGAAGTATTTGAACTTGGAGTCGACGACATTTACACCGAAATTTAAAATGTATTTATATACACTTGAAGGCTAATAAATTACACCATTGATTTAATCGATAAAGAACATTAGGGCTTCAAACATTTTCTTGACTTAGTTGAAAGTGGCCATTTGCCTTAAGGGGGTTGTTCGGTTTTTATTTTATTTTTTTTCGATTTTGAGATTTTTTGATATTATGTAAGCTAAAAACCTTAGAATTATTTAAAAAAAATCTCAATATCTATTTTTTGACGAAGTTATAGATATATATTTCTATATGTATAGTCCTCTAGAACCGGTTTTTTCATCGCTCCGTGAGCTATTGTATGCCAGATGCTTTCTTTTTCATTATGATACCTCATGCACATGAGCTTTTTAATGTGTCAGCATCTTTGAACACCATGGTGTATTTAGTACATTATATTAAAAACTTTAAATACGTTTTTCTCAAATTGACTTTTTTCAATGCGGTGCCACAAATTAAAAAAAAAAACTACAAGTAGTCGGATTGACTTGCAGTTTTTGTAATTTGTTTACCACTGCAATACCTAGTCTCCCTACCTCCAACAACTTGATAACATTACGCAAAAAAATTTTGCGAAGCTTCTCGCCCCAAAAAAGGCCTTTTTTGACACTATTTTTTAAATAGCTGCCATTTTTTTCCTTCTTGCTTTTTTTCTTTCATTTTGGTAGGGGGGCTGGATTCAAACTTCTTTTTCAACGTAGTTTCTTTTTTTTTGTTTCAGACGATGCGCAACGGATTTATCTGTGCCACCGCAAAAGAGATAGATTTTGCAAGGCCGACTTTGTCGCCCCCTGGTTAAAAAATGACAGCAAAAAAAAAGAAAATTTTGTAATATTCTATGATTTTGTAATTTTTGTTTAAAAAAACCGCTTGTCTCTATGATAAATACATTTCGATAAAAACAAAAACAAATACCTTGCATTTTTTGTAAAAAAAACGAACAACCCCCTTAAGGCAAGTTGCATGAATGTGTAATAATTGACTTAAGTTATATTAAGGTCTCGTGAACTGAACAACAGTGCTCACAACCAAACATTATCAACCAAAACGCATTATTATTCAACACATTAATCTTTATATAATAACTGTTCAGAAATATTCTGAAAGCGTGATATTTCAATCTATTTTTATACAAAAATATTTAAATACTCTATTTAATGTTATCATTTATCCATTACATATCAGATCAATTACCGTTCCCTCACGTTGTTTGTTAAATCAATTTTCACCATTTATTTATCGCGCTTGTATAAATTCCAACGGGTACGCACGAGCACTGCTCGCGCACTCTTTGCGTACCGTACCGGGCTATCCCGAGCGCTGCTCGCCAAAACTTTTGTTTAAGTGTTATGCGATAAAAAGCCTACGATGACTATATATTTGGATATGTTTAGTTTAGATATGATAATAACAGTTGAATTATCAGTTGTATATATAAGAAAATAAACTTTAACGACTTTTGGGATGATTAATGAACTCTTAAAAACGCATGTCTAAATATCCATCAAGGAACATGTTATTGTTATAAGATTGTCTTATTTATAATGGGAATCAATCAATGATTACTGTCGAGGGTTTTATCTCTAATTAGGTAAGGATTTATATATTCTGATTTTAACTTCCGTAGCTATCACACGTACTTTTGTTATAATTATATTTTGTTAAATTTGCTTTTATTTCGCAGAAATTGGTAAGTATGAATCCCAATTATTTCAATTTATCCTTAAAATTTATGTGCCAATATATAATTTTTTTATTATCAAGAAATCATAATTTTGAGAAGATGGATTTAGATTGTTCAGACTGCAGTTCTACATCAACGATTATTAGTTTGGAATCTGAAAGAGAGTTAGACTTTGATGATGAAATTGAATTTGATGGTTGGACTGAAATTGATATAAGTACAAATACTCCACAGCCACAAACTCCTTTTGAATTCATGGGAAATTCTTCCATAAATGAAGATGTTGCATTGCTAACAACACCTCTGCAATTTTTTAATTATTTTTTTGACGACGAATTGGTTGGAAAAATTGTTGAAGAAACAAATGTATATTTTATACAAGAACAGAGAACGGAGCCTTCAACGTCTGGTGCTGTAATGGATTGGAATGTCACAGCAGCAGAAATGCGAATATTTTTTGCAATAGTGTTAAATATGAGTATCGTATACAAGCCAGATGAAAATATGTATTGGTCGAAAAATCCTATTATTGCCACTCCATTTTTTTCCAAAGTAATGTCCAATAGGCGGTTCAAATTGATCAAAAAGTATTTACATTTTATGAATAATGAAACCTATAATTCTGATTTACATCCTTATCCGAAACTGAATAAAATTTGGCCTGTATATGATTTTCTGAATAAAAAATTTAAAACTGCTTATACCCTTCAAAGGGAAATTACAATTGACGAAAGCCTAATGTTGTATAAAGGAGCACTAAGCTGGAAACAATATATGCCCATGAAACGTGCAAGATTTGGCATCAAAAGTTACTTCTTGTGCGAATCGAAAACTGGGTATATATGGTCTATGATGATATATACGGGAAAAGGGACAATTATCGATAGTGAGTTCCCAAATTTGCCAATATCATCTCAAATCGTTATGAGTTTGATGAAGCCATTGATAAATAAGGGATACTGCCTCACTATCGATAATTTTTATAGTTCTGTGGAACTATTCAAATTGTTATCGGTTTTCAAAACAGATGCATATGGAACAGTGAGATCTAATAGAAAAGGTTTACCAATTAATATAAAAATCCAAAAAAAGTGAATCCAGGATACGTAAGATCTTTTAGAAAGGAGAGATTGATGGCCATGAGATGGAAAGACAAAAGGAATGTGTACTTCCTTTCTACAATACACGGTGCAGATCAGGTGGAAATAGAAAAGAGAGGCATCATAAAAATGAAACCCAAAGTGAGTGTTGATTATAATTTTACGATGGGAGGTGTTGATCGCGTCGATCAACATTTGTCGAGTTATCCCCTTCCAAGAAAAAGAGGAAAAAAATATTATAAAAAAATGTTTTTCCATCTCATGGAACTCTCTGAATACAACGCATATGTGCTCTACAGAAAAAAAGGAGGTAGCATGACACATCTTGAATTTAGAATAAAACTAATCGAAGAATATATAGAAAAATATAGTGTTGGAATTTTTTCTGCAAAAGGTGGTCGGCCAAGCAACACCCCTAATCCGCTAAGATTGACAGAACGTCATTTTCTAAAAACTATACCGGCGGTGGGTAGTAAAAGCAGACCTACAAAAAGGTGTGCTGTTTGCTGTTCGAAGCGGGACGACTCCGGAAAACGTGTCCGGAAAGAGAGTCGATACTGGTGCGCCGAATGTGAAGTAGGCTTATGTTTGGAGGAATGCTTCGAAATTTACCACACAAAAACAAATTATTAATTCTTTATTATTATTATAATCTAATTATTTATTTTACCTTGTTATATGTTTTGTGCCTTTAGATGTATTAGTATAAAAAATATATTACACCAAAATGTCAATTTACTTCAGTTTTCTTATTTTTTTAGATTATTTTTTAAATTATTTTTTATATTTCTTTCAGATAAATAAATAGTATTGAAATTAATAAGTTAATAACAAAATTTTCCATTAGTGATTGATATTGTATAAGAAGTGGTTAACAATAAAGGTATTGAAAACCGTCAAAACGGTATTCAATATTACGATGCATTTTGCTAATTTTATACAAAAAAATTAAAATGAAATGAAAAATCGTATCAGAAACATATATTACATCACTTAAGCTTTCAAAATCCGAAATAAAAAAACCTGCTCTTTTAGATCACTTTTTTCGAAAAAAAACTCGATCGTTAAGTGGTTGTTCGTAAATATGTGAATCATTAATATTATGTGTTCATTTAAGTCATTTTGATGCTTGTCGGTGGTCGAAAACAGTCTGTTATTATAATAAGGTACGATACAAAATCTAATGGTCTGAAGCCAAAAATTTTCATATCGCCGTAAAAAATATTACACCAGGCATCGCCGGGTTGCGCGTAATGTGAAAATAATTACGATTTAATGACATGCCGCGGGGTACACAGGACTTACACGAGATCAAATTTATACACATAAAATTATATATATATATATATATTAGGGTGGTCCTTAAAATGGTCATTTTTAAATTTCCTTGCTCCCAGGGTCTCAAATGGTTCCAAATAGATAAAAAACAATTCTCTGAAAATTTTAGCTCTTAATATTAACGTTTAGATAGAGCGCAATTCAATCAAAGTTTTGTATGGAAATAGCATGGAAAATTTTTCAAAAATTTTAAAAATATTTTTTAGATGTAATTTAGCGAACAAATGAATGAATAAAACTCATTCATTTGTCGCTAAGTTATATCTAAAACATGTTTTTTAAATTTTCAAATTTTTTTCCGTGCTCTTTCCATACAAACTTTGATTGAATTGCGCTCTATCTAAACGTTAATATTAAGAGCTAAAACTTTCAGAGAATTGTTTTTTATCTATTTGGAACCATTTGAGCCCCTGGGAGCAAGGAAATTCGAAAATGACCATTTTAAGGACCACCCTAATATATATATATATATATATATATATATATATATATATATATATGTATATAATAATGAGGCTTATCAGGATTCCCTTTTAGTTCGATAAAAAAAACTATATTTTTAGCATAACTTTATTTTAATCTGATTTTTCAATTTTATAATAAATTGTTTAATTTATTCAGTTCACAAAATTTGATGAACTTAATTTTTTTAGAGCAGATGCATACAATCTGTCAGGCTGACTAATATTAAGACAAAATTAGCACAACAGCTTATAGAACTATTAGATTATGATTGTGATCAAAAATAATAACAAACAGCCTGTATTCGAATTTCATCAACGTTATTAATACTTACGGGACGGCTGTAAACTTGATTTCATTGTGTATGTTATGCAATTTGTTTGATAAAAAAATGTGGTCATTCTACGGTTTTTTTATTATATTGTCTAATAATTCATTTGTAAAGTATAAAGTAAAATATAGATGTCTTATATAGCTTGGTATTTGTAGTCGGGGTGTTTGTTGATGTATGTCAAACTCGATTATTGAATGAGAATCGGCACATTCGCTAATGTCTCTCCACTCTTCTTCGAATTGTCAAACTTCTTCGTCTTTTTGTTGGTTGGATAATATCATCATCACATTCATCACTATCTTCGGTGCGAATAGTAATTTCGTAAAATTTGTCTTTATGAATGTCTATTTGAAACTCATCTTCACTACTGCTTAATTCACAAAATTTCCCTGTCGATTTGCCATATTGAAAAGCGCTCGGTCGTTTTAAATATTAACACACTTTCGGCGGATAGGATTTCGGGCTAACTTATACCCGTAGCGGGGTTTTTACAACGGTGCGAATGCGTAAGCATGGCTTGAAAGCATAGCTTTTACTTACAATACTTACTGCCTAAATTCATACGCTGTAGTAAATTAAATATTATAATATTAACTTATTATGAAGTAAAACTATCAATACAGAAGGTAAAATATTTGCAATGATACATATGTTTAGGCAATGAAATGAAAAATGTAATTAATTCTAAAAATTTAAAACAAAATACACAGAAAAATTTTCTATACGTTTTCTTACGCAATTCCTCATAAGTTAAGTCTCTGAAATAAAAAAATGAATTTAATCATAAAAATCAATTAATCAAAATACACAGAAAAGTTTGTTATAGGTAGGTTTTTTACACGATTATACACTACACATTTTTACGCAATAAGTTTAGAATTGTAAAAATCATTTGGACTATTCTTTTTGAAGCATTGTAACAAATCTTCTTGGCGTCTTCTAAATATTATCTCTCCTCTTTTAAGTTTCAAATTTTTAAGTTCTTCAGGAAGGCCCCTGTTTGTCCTTATAGTCCCACAAATCCTAGTTTTATTTTGTAGTAATAATAAACTTGTATTTACACTATTATAAAAATTGTCCATGTATACATGATGCCACAAGTTTAAATAAGGTTCTAATATATCTAATATAGTTGTCTGTAAACTATTGCCATTTCCACAGTAAATTTTTAAATTGCATATAACTTTGCTTCGCAAGCCATTCTAATCAGAATACCATATTTTACTATTTTTGCTTATATGCTTATTTTAAATATGTATATATATATATATATATATATATATATAATATTTGAAGATTTATTTAGGTAATAGGAAGTAACAGGTTATTAAATACATTTAATTCCGTTGAATTCTTTCAAATAAATTCGTCATTCAACAGTAAATTAATGAATTAGTTTTATTACTCGCCGGATACTGTATTTGATAAAATTACCTGTTGCCAGGTACGTAAATTAGACAAAGTAATTCCATTCACCAATCATTTGTAAAGTACCTATATCACTTATAATCATACTATATACAATCTAGAGTTTTGCGTTGAAAATTCGATTGTTTTTAATATTGTACGAAATTAATTTTTATGGTGTATAAATTAGTGACAAACCTAATAGTTGATTACATAAATAATAATATGGTTTTATAAGTTGCGTTCGGTTGTTTGTAAAAATGTAATAGCTTATTTTTAACATTGTATTTGAAAATAAAATTATATGAATTATCGAAACGCAATAAATACAAAGATAATAGCAAAATATATGAATGATAATATAGTATTAAAAGAATTAGTTTGTTTACCAAAAATGCTGACGTAAAACATATCGTCTTTAATAAAATACCATATATTTATGTAATATATCGAAAATAATTTTAAAGAATATATTATAATTTTATTATAGTTATATAATATTATAATAAATATAAAACTAGCATTGCAACCGCTCATAGTAAGAAATTTCGTTCGCTCTTCGCATCTAGCTTGTCCCACCGAGTACCCGAAAATACCCGCACCCGCAGTTGAATGACAATCTTAAAATCGAGTACCAGTACCTGGCCCGCCGAAAGTGTGTTAATAAAAAGACTATATAGCAAAGAAAAAGGCTAAAAATACTACTAAAATAACTTAAATTTTTTTTCAAAATACAACACTGTTTATCACTGCTATATGTAATTTATTCAACTTTTCGTTGCAAACTGAGTCATTGTTTATAAAATAGCCTGTGCCTCACAAAGTATGTTTGTCCATTCAGGTGGACAGCCGTCCCCAAGGAGTTAATACATTTTTTCTAGTAATTCATTTTATATGGTTCACATAAGCAATATATGTAAGTTTTTTTAAATTTAGAATTAAACTATTTGTGTTCAAAGTCCAATTACAATTGAGGAAAGAAATTGAATTAAATGGCAAACAATAGTACTCGTACAACAACGTATTTACCGAAATATTCAACTCCTTGACTTCTCCATATATGCAAATAGTAATAATAACTGGTTGAGAATTCATTTGCATAACTATAATAATATGAATAACAGTGTACAAAATAGTATTTGCCCTGAAATGCCTGACGTTTAGTCATATAATACAAATACTTGCAACCGCTGCGAAAGCATTCCATTTCAGACGGGGCTGGCAAAATTCATCTCAAGTGGGAAATGTTTGAAATTTCTTTGGAAACTAATTTATTTTTCTTGCAAGTATTGTAAACTACAGTAGCAAATATTATGTAACATCTAAACTTTTGAATATTGTAAATGCATATTAATAAGTAACCATATTTTTAAGTCAAAACCGGGAATTTTTAGTTTGCTAACCCGGGACGGGGGGTTAAATATCATAAATGTGATGTTAAAATATAAAATTAAGCTTAACAAGAGCCTGAAATAATATCTATTTTTATTGATTACGGCTTGCTTATGAATAAATAAATAAATAAATAAATCAAAATTTTTTTTTCAACGTTGCTGACTACTAAAATACCTTTAATATTGTTATTTGTTATAAAATTTTACAATTTGTTTGTCACTTATGTTACACATAATTAACTTGAAAAAAATTACTATTTGTGCCAGGTAGTCGAAAAGTCTGTTCTCATTATTTTTGCTTATTTTCGTGAAATTGAAATTATTAATGTGAGAAACTATTTCAACCCATTTTTGGAATTTAGTAATCGCCAATTTTCTCATTCATAACATATTGATTCATTCTTATTTTAAAGTATTGATGAGTATACAAAAAGCCATATACTCGTCAAAACAAATACTGAATGTTTTAGTATGATAGATTGTAACTAAAGCTACAAAAAAAAGGTCAAAAGCCATTTGATGAAACTCGGAGTTTGTTGTTGTAATATGCAAGGTGAATAAAAAAGCCGTTTTGAAATAATTAGTAAATAAAAAACATTCGAAAGATATGTGAGATCCTTAGACATGAGCACAACAAATCATCAGATATTTTATAGTGATTTTAATAATAAGTGATAATTTTGTTTTCATTTCTATGG